AGGAATGCCCTGGACCCAGGTGCAGGTCCAAACTGGAACTGTGCAGCTTGCTTTAAACTAAGAAGACTTCAGCAGAATTGGTGCAAGAGTTTGGCATTGCCCTAAGACGATTAGCTGTAAAGGCCTTCCCGCATGTCAGCACAGCTCCACAAACTGCCCCCTGGTTCCTCCTGCTGTTACACACCTGAGATTCACATTACACTGTCAGAGAAAGGAAGAAAGGGGCACGAGCACACAGCCAGGCAGCGCAGGGCAAGGGACACCCAGTCAAAACTGTCAGAGGATCTCAATCGTCATGTGTACAAGTGCCCATAATGCCCACAGGTCACAGCCTTGGCTACTTCTGCAGCTGCAGTGGCTGGCTGGCCCGTCTCAGTTTTTTCCCAAGACCAGACAGTGAAATGGGGATTGGCACCTCATGGGTCTACACTAAATTTGGGGGGGGTGCCTAGGGAGGTGGGGTGGGATGGCTCCAACTGGGCCTCAATTTCACCCCTTCCTTGGATGCTTCTACAGCTGCTCGGACCAGCAGGAGCCTCTGGCTAGGCTGGAGTTGCACTTGTATGGTTGGTAAGGGGCCCCTTCACTGAGGGGAGTGGGAATAGGGTTGGCTCCTATATGCTTCCCTTGTTACCGACACCCATCATCACCGCACATCCCGAATCATTGTGTTTTACCTAAGCTACAAGCCTTACCTTCAAACTCTGGTGCTTCAAGATTGGTGCCAATGATTTGTTGCTGTAAGTTCTTAGGTGTAGTTCGATGGGCATAAAGCCAGTATTTATCTGCCTAAATATTTAATTAGATGCCTAATCCTAAGAAATTAAGTTTTCAAACAGGACGGTGTAGGATAACCCAGGGTAACAGTCCCAAGTCCAGTTGCTCAGTGTCGCCCCTTGTCAGGCACACGGACTCGTTCATCCCATGGTCTATACATGCACGTCGTGTCTGTCGGAGCATGTCATTTCCAAATCAAGCCCAGTGCTTAATGGGCTCATGTTTCCCTAGAGGCCATGTCTTCCCCTATTGTAAAGGCGCCTGGGAAATCTAAAGCTTTAACTGTTTCAATTAAAGCACCCATTCGTTTGTCAGGTTTTGAACAATAATTCCCCGGTGGAAACAGCTCTATGTTCAGAGTTACCAGCCTAGAGAACCCAAATCGGAGAGCAGTGCATCTACCCGTGTAGGGGAAGCACGCCACGGGAGTGCTTATTACCTTGGGAAGTTTGGGGGAGCTGGTGGCTGGAAGCTGTCCAGCTTGCTCTTCCAAGACCGTATCCCCCCCGCCACCTCCCTGCCGCAGCTGTCATTTGATCCCCTGCCTCGGCTTTGAAAGGAGCTCTCCGAGGAAGCCAGATGTTGCGAACAAAAGTCTAAAAATAATCTTCCCATCTCTCAGCCCGGCAGCACATGTGCTGTGTGCGAACACGAGATCAGAGAGCCGCGTCTAACTTGGAGCGATTAAGTTCAACCACCGCTCCTGGCTCTGGCTTGGGAGCTCCAAACCCTTTCTATATTTCCCTCCCCGCCCAGAAGCCTCGCAGCAAAGAGCAGCTCACTCCAGCCGTCTGCCCTCTCCCTCCCTCCCTCCCTCCCAGGACTCGGACTCGCCTGGATCCTTGAAAGCTCAGCTCCCTGTTTTATCTCTCCTTAGGAAGATGGATGCCAGCAGCCAGAAGCTGGTGCCTGAGCCGCATGTCTGTAGCAAGATCTTTGCCACAGCCTTGTGCATCGTAATCTTGCTCCCAGATTCAGGCTTTGCAAAGAATCTCTGGAAACGCGCTCTCCATCTCAAACTGACAGAGAAGTATGATGTGAGTAGCCGGCTGCGGTGGGGAGGGGAGCACTGCGTGTGAACTCATGGGAGGCATTGGGAATAGCGCATTTTCATGTGCCCGGTGTGTGAAGCCTTGGCCTTTCTCTCTTGGGCGGGCTCCCTCCAGCTTGTGCTAAACTATTACCCCCCCCGGCTGCAGGGTCGGGGTCTTGGGGGACGTCGTGAAACACCTTTTGGAAAGGAGAGGAAGATGAATAAACTTGTTTCCTCTGAAAGATTTAAAAAAATATCACTTGCCATTAGGGATATAGAAGAACTACTGTTATGGACCTATCCAACGAGCTCCCACAGCTCGGGGGCTTGGTTATTGTTGTTATATAATGAGCAGAATTGGAACGCTTCAAACGGCTCCATTTGTGCTTTAGAAAAACTTTCCAGAAACAGGGTCTGAAGGTGCTGTAAGCTTATTCACAGTATTCCTGCAGCCAGCCGGTTCTGCAGACATCTACCGTTTCATTATATATTAAATGTATATGTATGTATATGTTAAAATGTATATTTAATTATACATCTTAATAATTTAACTCCAAACAATACATGTAGCATTAACAATCCTCGGAGTCCCATGCTTGCAGAAAAAATGGATTTTTAGCGGTTACGCTGTAAATTATAGTCTATCCAGCTGGTTATTTAAAGGAAATGGTGATAAATCATGTTGAACTCCATTTTTATCTGTTGATAAGGAATGAATTCAACTTCACATAACTAGGATTGTTTTCCCCTAGAACTTTGTGTTACGATAGCAGCGGCCTAAGCAGCCCCCCTGCATATCCAGAGGCTGCGGATGGGGGCAAAGGGAAACCCGAATGGACAGAATAGGCAAGGGGTTGCAGGTGGCAATAGTCATGCAATGAGACAAGAAGTGCCAGCATATGCTAGCAAAAGCCAAGGGATGCAGTTCAGTGCTCAGAGCAGGGGGGCTGACATGCTGTGTCCTTGGTTAAGCTGTTTCATCTCCCGGTGACTCACTTTACCCAAGACACAAAATGGGGATTATCTATACCGCATTTCACTAAATTCACAACAGGTATTTCACTGTGGAGTGCTGGGATCCACATGTAACAGGTACTAGAGGGAGGGAAAGTGGCCGCTTTGCCTTACGTGGCTCACAAAAGAATCCGTCCTCCTTCTCTTCTCTTGCCTGTTCCTTGGCAGTAGCCATGCCAGGCAGCCATCCCTGGCTCCTGGCAGGTGTTCATTAATGCTGCTTGCTGGTGCCTGCTCCTGGCCCGTGGGCCAGCAGCTGGCACCAGCCTCACTCTTCTCATCAAGCCGTCAGAGCTGAGCACTAACCAGAAAAGTGCAGGAGACTTCCTGCAAAATCCTGCTAAGCTGAGCTCAAATTTCTCTTGCCCAGCAACGGAGTGAAAGACAATTCTGTGCTTAACAAGTGGGTTGCACAGAGGTATTCGCCCCCAGGACCCTAATCTTGCAGATCTGGTTAGCAGGAAAGCAGAAATGGGAACTGAAGAGGCAGAGGGCTGATGTTTGCACAGAAGAGGTGGGGAAGGGTGGGGCTAAGAATGTGTCTGTCTGATGTTTCAGGTGTTCTTGTTCTCGGGCCAAAAGACTCTTCTAAGCACGTCTCTGGAAGCAAAAAAATAAATAAAGCGATAACATTTTTATGCAAAAGAATTTACAGGGTAAAAATGCTGTGATGTGGCTTTGGGGTGGGGGGAGACAATAAAATAGCCCCTTTAAAAAGTTCAGCTCAGCCTTGTCCCTTTAATAGCTCATAACTGCCACTTGCTCTTGCCTCTCAAATAGTTTCCTGCCAAACTCACGTGGCATCCACTTTTTTATGCAGAAGTCTTCCTGGGCCCATAAGCATAAGACTCATTTTACCTCTGCACCCAGTCCTTGCCTCTAAACACACAGGGAGGTGTTTGAGCCCACCGGCTGGTTTCAGCTTCCTTGCTGCAATCAGAATCAGGGCCATGAAGACAACAGGCAGGATATTAGACCTGGGGAAGCAACTCTGACATGCTCAGGAGTAGACTGACTTTGTCCCAGTGCCGGGTGATTTGCGAAGTGTGGTGTACCCACCTGACAATCAGAGAGAGGAGAGGGTAACAGGAGGACTAGGGACAGACATTACATGTAAACTGGTTCAAGTGATCAGAAACTGGTTTCAACCTGTAACAGAACAGACATTCAGTGCACATAAACCGGTTTGAAAATGGCTGAAACTGGTTTGAGATAAACCTGGCTGAATGTAGTATCAGACTTAACTGATTTGAGTCAAACCGGTTTATGCAATGTCTGTCCCAGACCCCTTCCTGGTTGAAGTTAAATCAGAGTCCCCCAGCATGCTCTCTGGGCTGGGCAGAGAGCTGTGCTGGCTCCTCCCCTCTGCTCCCTGGCTGCAGCTCCAGCAGAGACTTGCAGGTACAGTGGGGTCTGCCTGGCTTCCCCCTACCCCACCTCACCACTCGCTGCTCAAGCAGGGATCCCTCCCTCCCACAGCGTGGACTGTAGCCAGCATGTGGTGTGCTAGCTAATGCTGAGATGTCTGTGTAAGGCAGACAGGACCAAGGCAGAGAGGAGAGTGTCCGCTTAGGGCTTTTTGGAGCTAATCAACAGGTAGGTGGTGATGTCCCTCCTTGGAATGTTCCCTTCCTTGGAAAAAGCTGTTTAAGAAGAGCTGGAACTAATGAGAGAGGTTTTGTTTTCTGATGGGGTATGAAATGCTGATAACAGAGCTGATAAATGCTCTGTTATCAAGAAGGGGTAGGGAACCCCTCCCTAATTAAAGCATCCTGCCAGGGCCTGGCCACTCCCTGCTCAGCACTATGAAAGGGAAGGGAGGGCTGCTCTAGCCCCCCTGGTTTCTAGCCTCAGCCACTGCAGGCATGTGCCTGCATTTCCTCTGTCCAGAGAGAATGTCTTTACAGTTACAAACAGGTTCAGCCTAGCCAGGTTAGACTAACCTGCAAAGATTGAATCAATTCAGGCTCAGGCTTTTTGAATGTTTGTCCCTAGCCGAGAAGCCTGCAAAATTCACGGCTTTCATTTCATGAACAGTTTGGAGCAAAAGCACCATGACGTCTCAAAGATGACTAGCTATTTGTCAGTGTGAAATTAGCTTCCTCTTAGCTGTCTCACAATCTATCCATGGATCCCAGTGTCATTTTGTCAAAATTTTGCAATATGGACCAAGAAAAGTGTTTGGCTTACTAAATGTCTCATTGCACTCCTGGCAAAATTAATGATTATTATTATTTCTAAGATGTTTCAGAGCTTTAACTCCCATTAGATGCTTCTTCTCCTCTCTCAAAATAGCAGCTCAACTTAAACTATAAAGCAATTGGTACTCAGAACTCAAAAAGCAGTAAAACAGGGAATTAGAACTTGCTGTTCAGCTCTCTTGTTCTGCAATAGCACAAAGCCTGTTCCCTCAGGGATACATCATCTTCCTTCAACCTGCAGTTCTTCAAAGGGCTGTTTTTCCTGCCCGCAGTTAATCCAGGAGCTACTGATCTGGCAAACTCATCTGGACTTACTCAGACTGAGAAAGAATTATCTACAGCAGATGAATGTGGCATAGAAGATGCGGTCTAGGATATTTCCATAAATTCCTAAATCATAAAGCCGGAAGAGACCATTCTGATCACCCTGTCGCTTCTGTGTCTATCAAAGGCTTTATGACTTCCTGAGTTAATTCCTGTGTGAACTTCAGAGCATCTTTTAGAAAAGCATCCTGTCTTGATTTAAAGATTTTCAGCAATGGAGAACCTGGCCCTGTCTTAGCCAATTTGAATTAAATTCCCTCTTTATTAAAAATGTTTATCTTATTTTTGGGCTCAATTTTGTCCAGCATCATCTTCTGACCCCTGGATCTTGTTATGCCTTTTTCTGCTAGACAGAAGAGCCCTCTCTTCTCCAATTTCTGTTTGCCATGTAGGTGCTTATAGAGCATGATTGAAGCACCCCGACCTTGTCTTTGACAGCTAGATGTATTTTGCTCGTGGACCCTTCCACCATAAGTCCTGGTTTTCAATCTTTTAATTATTCTCTTGACTCTTCTAGGAATGCTCTCCAATTTATCAACATCCTTCTTGAATATGGACATCAGAACCAAATATGGTTCTGATGTCCATAGCCTTCATACTCCCACTCAATACTGCCCCGCATGTTCAAGGATGCCATTAATCCTTCTGGCCACTGTGTCACACTGGGAGCTTGAGTTCATCTGAGCATCCCTCAGATCCAGATTGTCCAGTTTCAGTCTGGCTAGGATGATTAAATCAGGGATGATCCTGCCTTGAGCAGGAAGCTGGACCAAATGCCCTTGTGAGGTCCCTTCCAGCTCTGCTTTTCTATGATCTTTGATCTTTAATATCTTTTCTTCTAAATATGAGATAGGATAAGGCCAATAACCCTATCCTCCAGTTTCCTGTGTGTAGACATATTGTCTTCCTAGAATCCTAGGGTTGGAAAGGGCCTGAAGCATCACCTGGTCGAACCCCCACAGTCCTTATTGTTTCTCTGAATAATGAAGAATGAAGGGGGGTTTTTTTGTTGTTTCAGAGGAAAAGCTGGCTTGGGGCCACTGGCTGAACAAATCATACCATTCTCACTGCTTCCATTGAAGTCAATGGCAACACTCGCTGACTCGAGGACCAGACTTGGTTGAGCCCTGCACACTGCCTCACTAAGGCCGACATCTAGAGTTATGGGAGGAAGCACTAACCATTAAAGAGTCATACAGGCAGATTGGGTGTCAATCAGTGCAGCCCCATTGACTTCAGTGATACACAGATTTGTACCAGATGAGAATGTAGCCTGAAATCTCTGTCAATGAAAACTTTATTAGAAAGCTCTCTCATAGGAGTAATATTATGCTATAATATCCTTGTTTGGGGTGGAAACCTACTTAGAATTCAAGTTGCAGAAATTGGGCTTAGAGACAAACCAGATGAGAAAAATATAAGGGCTATATGGAATTTTTATTAGGCAGGTCACATCCGTCATTTGTTATTGGAAGGACACGGGATTTAGTGAACACTTTAAAATAAAGAGACTTCATTCAGATATCTCTTCATCAGGCTGCTCTTGGCTTTCTGTGTTCCTCAGATGAACTCCTCATTTGTTCTGTCTCAACTAGCTCCTGGCTGTCTTTAATGCAGAAATTTCTATTAAAATGTGTTCATAAGTCTCCTGGGAAACAGAAATTTGCCTCCTGGATTGAAAAAAATATCCTCAAATGCAGAAATTTTATGACTTGCCAGGGTCTGTAAAACTTAAAAATCCAAGTCATGCTGCAAGTCAAAATATAAATCCTAGGAGAGCTTTAAAGTAGGCCATCATGAAATCCATAATCTGAAACGGGAACCACTGCAGAGTTAGTAAAAAAAAAATGGAGACATTTTTTATTTGCTATTTTTCTTCAGAATCCTCTGAAGCACTGGCAGCATATATATTTCATAAAAGTTTTATAAAACATAGTCTTCTGAAGTCAATGTTTCAAGAGATCGATTCAGACCAATAGGAGAACTAAAAAAAAAAAACCAGGGGGAAAGGACAAGTAAAAGAAAGTCACTTTGGGAATTGTTGGCCTCAGAGCTCACATTGTTCCAAAAAGAAAACTGCATTCATTACAGTGACCTGTTCATTGTGAATCTTTCATTTCCAGTGAATGAAACATCAGTGAATCAATCACGGTCATTTGCTTAATGTCACAATTTGTAGTATTCACCAGAGTTTGGGTCAATACGTTTCAGTCTATACCAGTCATAGTATTGACTGGTATAGGTTGAATAACATTTTAAATAAAATAACAAATAAGGAACTTAATATACAAATGTCAAAATGAATAAACATCCTCGTTAACATCTGTGAAACCTTTGAGATTCCCAAACAATTTCAGTGATATCCACTGTTTACCCCAAAGCCCATAAATTGTCAAGAGACCTGGTCCAAGAAACAAAAATAGCTTACGAATAAAAAAACCCCCACTCATTTTAAAATGAAAATATATATATACATTTGATTTTTTTTTTGGATTTTGAAATTCATAACTTCCTAAATGAGGAATTCTGAACAACTCTCATCTCTGGTTATAAAATGGATTGCGGGGGGAGGGAAATATGCTTATATTTTCATTTAAAAAAAATATTTTTTTAAACATTTTGAAAATAAAGTCAACTGCAAATTGAAATTAGCATTACTAATTATTAATAATATGACCTATAATGGGGAACTGAGTAGCGCACTGTTCCCTGAGTAAGTGCTAGTCCAAGATATGGCACTGTTACTAGTCAGCACATGAGAACCTGTCTGAGTGTGAATGGAGCTTGATGCTTCATCCATGGAAATATTAGAAACTGAATCTTTTCCCTTCACCATTCATCCAGTTAAAAAAAAAAGCAAACCATATTCTGGATTTCTCCTCCCACACTCCCTGATTTACAAGTTCAAATTGTCTATCTATTTATATTTCATGTTGCTGAGGTTGCCTTGAAATTCCGGGGTAATTAAATTAAATGCAATTCAATCAGTGGGCAATTGGACACGAGAGAGTCTGGTTTTTTTTCTTGCTGTAATACAAATGAATAAGATTGGCTTTAATAAAGGAACAAAGACTATATCGTTGTAACTATATGTTATGGGTGGCCCATTGCAAAGACAATGGAAGTACATCTATTGCATCAGCATTACAAATAAATATCATTATCGCTTGTCAAATTGTGCTCGTTTTGTACAATTAACCATTCTAACTGCTGAGGGAACCATGTATTTTGTCCTGATTACATTTTAAAATCACTTCACTCATTTGTAACAATAAGGACACATAGTAGAAGAAGCTAATTCCAAAATTAATTGACCTAGTTATTTGCATCTTGCAAATAACTCAATTGTTGCAAATTGAGGCCATCTACTGGAATCTAAAAGAACTGCAGCAAAGCTCCCCAAATTGATGTTTCCTTACATACTGAGTGATAATAATATTTGAATGAAAGGCTCCATAAAAAAAATCCCACTTAACCTGTACCCCCTGTCTATATGCTTTGGGAAAGGAGAGGAGAGAGTGAACTGGAAATCTTTTTCTGCTCCCATTTGGAAAAAAGGCAGTTTCCCATACACCCCCAGACCAGAGAAAGGAGGTTAAACTCTTGATAAAGTTCTGTTAGGTGCAGATCACGGGGAACGGTTTATATGCATTAAACCTATGGGTGCATTGAATAATAAAAGCATAGCACTCACCCTTATACATTTGAGGCAGAAGTCGTAAGTCTTACAGGGGAGCCTTTTGGTATCTCCCCTGAGGACTTGTATTTTGCAAGTGTCTGAAGCAGTGAACTGTATCTCAAAGGCAAATATTTGCTCTGCAGAAGCATTATTGAGTCTCAGGTTAGTGCTGATTTGGAAACATGCAGAGAAGGAGACATCAATGTCACTCTAAGCGTCTCTGTCCCCTGGGGGTAGAATTTTCCCCAAAGCCTCCCGGAAAATATCCTGGCCGTGGTGGTAGCGTGCAGTAGAGAACTTGGCTTTTTGTCACTGATGCACAGATATTACAGGGAAGGACGCCCTTCTGAGAGTGCACACTGGGTAAAACCCTATCACTTCAGGACTCTGCCCAGGAGGACCGCAACGAAGCCCAGTGTGTGCCCACTTGGCATGCACTGCCTCTGGAAACCAACGTAATGTAACCCCAGCTTTCCCGAGAGAGTTCATTGGCACATGCAATGAGACTGAGGTGCAGTATTTAGACGATGGGTCCAGTTCTCCCCTGAACTTAGGTTGCTTTGTACTGTATTGCTGGCATAAAACTGCTCGAAGGCTGGCATAGCTAGCCACAGAACGACTGCTTCAGTAGCAGAGCCACCCCTTATGACTCAAAGCCATAGGGTAGCTAACCTTATTGGCATAACCTCTCTAGAGCAACCCAATAACACACACCCAACAGCAAATTTTCTCCATGAGGAAAATGTATGTGATTGGGGAAAAGGACACAGCTGGAATTTCCTTCGTTGTCCACTTCCTCAGTTGACGCCTTACAGTAGGTAGCAGCTACATGAAAGAGCTACACTCAGGTTGCTCTAACAGCCCATGGACCAGGACACCAACAGTGGAGGGTTGAAAGTTTTCAAGAAAGGTTTCATTCCAGTTTGGTGTGTGCATATGAGCAAACCCATCATTCTGGGGTTGTACTGTATGCTCCTCCACTACAGCCTGAAATAGGATTTGAGCCAACATATTTGGACTCAGGGAAAAGCTTTTCTCCTTTCTGGTGGGAACCACAGTTCTTCAACTGCTTTGGGGATCCAAGGGGACAGCCGGTGCCAAATAAAATGGCGCCTCACAAAAGCTGAGGGCTACAAGTCTGTCTGTATAGCCGTGTAGAGATAGGTGTGATCATTGGACCCAGAGCCATTATTATTGCCACTATACTGGGCCACTCACAAGAGGAGTGAGAAAGTTGAGGCTGCAGGAGCATCAGCAAAATAAAAAATAAAAAATAGGGAGATTCCTCCCATCCTTTACAAATCCCATTCCTCCTGCTCTTGGCTTCCTGTAGAAGGTGAAGGGGAGGAGGAAGCAGGTTTTTCCCAGGCTGAATGTACCATGGGGTTTGTAACAGGTTGCCCTCCCCAGCACCACTTTCCCTGTTAATCTGCACCTTACGTGGGGCGCCCTTGGAGTCCCCTTTAAGGTTCTTATGTCCCGCTCTCTACTTTCCTGCCACGTCTTAATGGAAATTATTATGCTGATGTTCTTGTAAGCAGGAAACTGCCTATTGTATTTCGTATGTTGGGGTCTTTCACCTCCACAGGGCTTGACCCTGCTCTTTCTCTAGCTAGGCCTCCCCGTCTAAACCCACCAAATAGGGTTTGACTATGAGGCTCTAGCCTTTCATTGTCTTGAGGCTCATGGCCCCTTTTTCTGCTCCATTCTGGCACCTGGCCTCCCTGGCCTAGAGGCGTGGCCACTGGCCCCATAGCTAAGGGGACGCAAGTTCAAAGTTGGGGAACAACCTTGAACTCACAGCATCTCAGTCCAAAAATAAATTTGCACCCAAGGTGCACCAGACCACCCTGATGTTTTAAGACCGCGCCCTCTGGTGCTGGGGTCAGTGCACCCCAAAATCCCACACCCACACTGGTGCCGGGGCCTATGTACCCCTAACACTGTGCCTTCTCTGGTGCCGGGGTCAATGCACCCCAAATCCTGTGCCCACACTGGTACCAGGTCCCCCCATGCTGTTGTGGGGTTCCAATGAGGCCTTCTCCTTCCCCAAATAGCCTCACCCAAACCACTGGTGTTATTCAATAACAAAAAGAAATATGAACAGTCCTATCCATCACCCCATCTATTTCAAGTTACAATGTGTTTGGTGTTGACCACACACTCTCCTTATGCCAAATCTTTGTTCTCCCTTTTTCTCTTCTGCAAGGATTATGAGTACCCTCTTCATTCTCACAGTGCCCACTACCAGAAGAACGACCGCTGCCCCCCGCCCCCCCAGACTTTGCCGGACCGAGCGTGCGAAGTGCCCAGCTGCCGCTCAGATTCAGAGTGCGAAAGACACAAGCGCTGCTGTTACAACGGATGCATCTACGCGTGTCTAGAATCGGTGCAACCCCCTCCAGGTACAGCAGCCTGCATGATCCAACTGCATCAGATAGAAATGTCTGTGCTTTTGCCAAGAGGCAAATAAAATAGGTCCAGCATAATTGCAGGCAGTAGAAGGTAGATAAGCCTACCCTAAGTTTAGAGGGAGGAGTGGGGGTTTGGGACTATGCCTCCAAAGGAAACAAAAGTTATGACCTTTGTGACGCCATGAGTCAGGTCTCCTTGATGGGAGCTGCTGCTGCTCCTAGGGGCAATCTGAACAAGGGCAGATCTCATTGAAAGAAACCCATTCAAATCCTTCCAAGAGGTGCTGCCTGATCAGGGGCAGGGCCAGACACAGGCATGGGGCAGGCTGGGCAGCCACCCGGGGCCCGGACAGAAAGTGGGCCTGAAAATGGTATTTTTTATTATTATTCTTATCATTCTCTCTGGCAAAGTGGGGCCTGATACAAAAAGTTCGCTTGGGGCTGCCAGGGGTCTAGGTACGGTGCTGATCGGGGTGGGGGAAATCAGTTTTGTAAAACTAACTGTGTGTCCAATGATTGCTCATCCTTGATACTGTGCTTTTTTAAAAATAGTTTTAGACTGGTTGGTGCAGCCCAAGCCACGCTGGCTGGGAGGAAACGGTTGGTTGTTAGATGGACCAGAGGAAGTGTTACAAGGTACGGCTTGTGTCACTCTTGGCATTTTAATCACCTGCGCAATATTGGGTATTGGATACAGTTGTACAAAGGACTGTGGTTTGGAAAACATGCAAGTCAGCTATAGAGCAGATCAGGGAAAGGTCCAACAAAACAGATCCTCAAAAAATGCCAATTTGGCAAAATGGAAATATTCTATGGAAATATGTTCTTGTTGGTAGACTTCCAGCAAGTCTCCTCCAAGACCATTTTAAGCTGGGCATAAGGAAAAACTTCTTTACTGTCCGAGCCCCCAAGGCCTGGAATAGACTCCTTCCAGAGATGGTGCAAGCACCTACTCTGGACTCTTTTAAGAAACATTTGGATGCATATCTTGCTGGGATCCTTTGACCCCAGCTGACTTCCTGCCACTGGGGCAGGAGGCTGGACCCGATGATCTTCCGAGGTCCCTTCCAGCCCTAATGTCTATGAAATCTATGACATAGGCAGGTTTCCTACTCATTCATCTGACAGGCTGCTGGAGAGGCTGGGGTCCATGGTTCATGGGATTGGGGGGAACTTGGAGTCCCGGAGACTCTGGGAGTGCTCTTGACTTCCCTGCAGCAAGTCAGGCTCATATGAATTTGGGGGCTTAGCTACAGATCAGCCAAAGCATGGGCTCCATCAGTCAAATTTTGTTTAGAAATTTTCAAAACAAACCGTTTCGAAAGGAGGGAGGAAAATAAAATCAGGCTTTCCCCTGGGAACCGATAATCCAGCTTTCAACCAACCCTAGCGAGATGCAGCTCAGTGTTGATCAATCATCCCTTCCCAAAGCAGTTTTGGAGAGGCTGTGGTCTCAGTTCAGCGCCTCAAGTTTTTCTGTAACACCACTTCATCTGCATTGTGTAACAAAGGCAATCAATCACTGTTAGCCTGGAAAGAGACTTCCTGTAAATTAATTGTCCATTAAATGAAGCTTCCTGAGCAGGGGCAAAATTCTTCCCTTCCATCTGTATTGGAGATGCATGGCTAATGTCAGTGCCTGGGGAGGTGCCCTCTGGCACTCAGTGAGGAAGGTTTTTGCCCTCAGCTATAGAAGACAGGAACTGCACAAAACTCATCCCAGCCCTGATTTGGGCAACTTTGATGACCTTCAGCCAATCTTTTAGACCTTGGGGTTTCAGACATTCAGATTCTGGCCTCAATGTTAGTCGCCCATGTGATTATGTCTTTCCCATGCATGCGTGACTGCCCGTAGAAAGCAAGTTTGTATGGAGAAATGCAGGCATGAGGTCTTCCAGGAAGGCTCCTAACCCTGCTGTACTTTCCAAGTGGATGCAGCGAGCCTACAATTACCTGCTTTTGGGGTTGAATGAGCTAGTCAACTGTTCTTGAAGGACTTGGAAAACCTGACTTGGGGTTCAAGCTAATTTCTCTCTGCTAGAGGAGAAGGTGAGGCATAGTAATGAGAGAATTTTCTCTCTCCTTTGCCTTTTGTGGGGTTCTTTCACCTTGCCCTGAAGCATCTGATGCTGGCCACTGTCAGGGGCAAGAGGCTCCAGGGATGTGTCAAAGCCATTCTCTGCCAACCTCTCTGTAGATGTTCAGGGCTTGGGAAGCACCTTGGGATAACTGGCTGTGAGGGGCTAGAAAAGGACACCGCCATGTTACTGTCTGATTCTCCAAGTTAGTACAGTCTAAGTTTATGACTTGGGGACTTATTTTCCAGCTGAGGCCTGCAGCACTACTGAGGATGGAGATGAGCCTCTGCATTGTCCAACAGGATACGAATGCCACATCATTAATCCTGGCAACACAGCCGAAGGGATCCCCAACAGGGGACAATGCATCAAGCAACGTGGAAATCCTGGTCAGTTCATTAGAAAACATCTTTCTGCTCATATTGTAAGGGACTACATTGAGGGACACCTCTGCCCTGAGGTAGAGACTTTCAAAATATCGGGTTAGGTAACGTAGGGTTCCTAGGTTTGCATTTCCTCCATCTTTAATGCCAGTTTTCTCTAGCCACAAATCTGACCTTTCTAGCCTCCTCAAGGCTGCTTCTGGAGGCATTACACTTCCAACCCCCAAAAGAAAAGGCCTCTGCTTTGGAGAAGGCTGTACATTATCACCTCTGCTATCCCTCCATTTCTTGTGTCTCAGTTGAGTGGGTGCTTCAAGAAGCAAGAGTCCCGTGGTCATGATGCTGTTGATCAAGCCATTGGTTTGTGCTTAAGATCAGCGGATGGCCAATATGAAAGCGGAGACAGAATTTGGAGCATATGTTTTTATGGCTAGCTTTTGCAGTATGTTCGCTTCATCATCCAAGTGCAATACTTGAGACCAAGAGGATGCAAGGAATGAAATCACTTAATTGGGAAAAAAAACTTTAATTGAGAGATTAGATGCTTTAAATTAGAGAGAACTAAACCGAAGCCTTGGAAAAATATAAAGGGCACAATCAGTACATCACCTCTTCTACATGATCTTTAAGGACCTCTTGGGAGGTGATAGTATTTATATCCTCATGGAGCTCAAAAGGAAGCAATTGCTTGGTAGTTTTCAGTAGCCGTCCCACAAGTAACTCCTTATAGCAGCCCTGTTTGTTATTCTGTGCACAGCACATGGCATTTTGGACTGTGAGCCATATCCTTAGCTGGTGTAAATGAGTGTAGCCTAATTAAAATCTTGACTTTAATCTATATTAACTTACAGCAGCTGTGGAGTCATCCCTGCATGTTTGTTCTACACAGGCATGTCCATGTCCATCCATTACATCTTTGGCAGGAACGCATTTATTCCCTTCTGCATGGGATGGTCAGCCTTAATATTAAAGTGATAAAACTACAGCAGACAATCATGATTGACATCGTTTTCTGCCCTCTGACTATGGGTCCTTGCTTTTTGGAGTCAAATACACTAGTGTTTGCCAACAAGGGAGCTCAGAAAGGCTGATTTATTTTCCAAGACATTTAAAAACCTGTAAAAGTGTGTGCAGCTTCTGTGAAAGATATGTGCATATACTAGGATACAAATCATCACGGGCTCAAAGCATTAACAGTCCCTATTCTTACTGCATCACAGTAACAGCTGCAGAGACGTCACACTGGACCCTGTCTATGAAAGAAGCTGTAGATTTTCTGCTTACTTTCCTTTTTAATGTCCTCCTTAATATTTTTTATTCATGTCCTATGATCCATAATTATATGTATAATTATATGATCCCATAATTATGGTGTCCTAATAATTTCTCTGGAGTTTTTCATGTATAATGTGATCCTAGCAAACAAAGGAGATCACAGGTATGAACGCACATACTTTCGGAGCTTCATCCAAGGTTAAAGTTGGAGCAGTTTTGTGTCTTTCCTCAATTATCTACATGTAACAGCTAGAACATAACAGCTGCTGCCCTTTTGAAATGGCTCCAGATATATGTGTGTTCAGATCCCAAGCTCAAATTCGAGTTGCAGAGAAACCTGTTGGCTCAGAAGACCACTCAAGCCTAGATACCCATTGGGCTCGTGTGAATAAAGCACATCAGATTCAACAGCTAGCAACAAAGAAGGAAGGGATGTTGTTAGCATCGTGTTGGGCTGCCCTTGGCCCCCGTCTCCTCCCCCAGCCCAAATGACCAGGTACTGATTTGCACCTGAGGCAGCCTTCAGTGATCCATAGCAAGATGCCATAACCAGTCTGCCCCCATGCCTCCGAACCCAGTGATATTGTCTTGAGATTGTAGCTATGTCTTCTTTAATCAACGCCTCCTATTTAAGAAAGTGCAATTCCTTACGACTAATAGAGTTCAGCGTAGATGTCGTAAAACTCAGACTATGTGGGATAACGGTGGCTGCGTGGATCCACTGGGGGAGCTCCACAGAGGCCTGCGGACACCAGTACTGGCAGCAGCTACAGATGTGTTGGGGATCAGAGGATAATCCTAGCCCAAGTGTCATTCACCCGTGACGTTCTCAGGCAATGCACCAGGCCAAAGATTTAAGCCATGGGAAATAGTTCAGGAGACATGTTCTCATAATCCATCTTCTTGCTTTCCAGATAGCCGCAACCTAAGGCATAAATACTACAAGGAATATTTTGGTAAGACATCAGCACTGAATCTTTTCTATTGCTGAGCTTTGCATGGGTCAGTTTGTTTAGGAGGCTGTTTATGAAAGGAAGGAGCCAGGCATAATAGGGAGAGATGCTTTAGAGGCTTCTCTGTGGCTGCGTCTACACAAGACATTTATTGCGCAGTAGCGTCGCAGGGCACGAACCGTGATGTGATGCTACAGCGCAGTAGGAACGAGCTACTGTGCCATCAGCATCACCAGGAAGCCGCATGGGGACACTACTGTGCAGTCATGCCGGTTACTGCGCCGTCATTTAGTCCTTGGCTGTGCAAGTACTAAATGACTGTGCAGTAGCAACTGCACCATCAGCGTCTCGTGTAGACACGGCCTGTGTGCCTCAGTCCGTGCCTGAGTTCAGACGTGCAACACACCTCAGATCTAAAACATAACAGTCATTTCAGGTCCCAACCCGCCTTCTTACACCTATGCTTCCTAGCTGATTTAACATCAATAACCCAGGGCTAGATATGCTCCCCAACCTTAACTGCATCACTGGTACAACACTTCCACCAAAGAGCTGCAAAATAACACAGCGCTCATTCAAAATAGAGCTAGAGATCTTTTTTTTTTTTTTTTTTTTAAGGATTCTTCATTAAAAAAAGGCATAATTAATTGTGCCAAGGTTTGTTCTACAGGGAGTAATTCCAACAATGTGGTCGGCTATGTGAAACAGCAGCAGAAGCACTTAGGTTAACCACAGAGATGTCCAAGTAAGTACCATCTAAGCATACGGACACCTATGTGATATTGAGAGCTATGGGATACTACGTGACTAGTACAGGGTTTTTTTTATGGATGTTCTTCAATTGGCTTTTTAAAGACAGGTAAAGTATGTGCACCTTAGGACTTAAAGTGGGTGTCCTACACAGAGGTGAACTAGATGCACTGGAAGGCATCGGCTGATAAATAGGAGGTGTCTTTAACCCTCCCAAGGTCAGCCTGCATTGCAGAGAGATCTCTGCACTCTACTCCTAGTGCAATTCATCCGGCTTTCTCCTTTTGTTTCACTTGCACAAAATTAAAGAACCTCTGACATTTATGGGCTTTCTTTTTCCATTGAGAATACATTGTGAGGATGAAAAATGGCTGCAGAATTTGGGGGGACTTTCAAACCATCTTTTAGACAAAGCTTAAACATTTGCATCCAAATGGTGTCGGTTGTTTTTAATACTACTACATGCTCTCGTGTTTTATACAGCACATGATTTTAACTCACATGTCTCTTTCTCAAACCCTGACCCTCTCTACTCTTTATCTTTCAAAATGAGAAGTGACAGCAATAAGGCACCGGTTACAAATACGAGTTAAATCTCTTGTCACTAAATTTTGGTGAGAGTCGTGTGGTTGAGGTCGTATGGACATGTAGGGGCATGTTCTGTGCAAACATCACATCAGTGGCTAAGATTTTAATTGCCTTTTTTGTTTGATTTTTCACGCAGTGGGACCTAGGTGATAAGAAGCTTTAAATGAAAGATATACCCCGTAGTTGTCCACTCCAGGAGAACTCTTGCCCTACATCGCCAATGGTGTCCATTCAGCATCTCCCTGATCTCTGCCACTTGTCAACAGAAGAACTGCGCTATGCAAGAAAGACAGTTTCAGTCCCTCAAAAGAAACCACAGCCCTTAGAAGCAGCTCCTCTACAAACGGACCGTGCTGCGTTGCACAGATAATCACTCTGTGCTGCACAGAGAATCACTTTGAAATTCATTTTCAAATCAGAAGAGTACACACTGGGTGCGTCTACATGAGACACTTACTGCACATTAGCCTAACGTCACTGCGTAGTAGTGTGTCATGGCAAAAAATGTGCTAATAGCCTACTGCGCGGTATTATTAAGCTAATGCACAGTAAACATCACCAAATAACCATGCACCAGCACTACTACAGAGTAACTTTCAGTATTGAGCATTTAGTACTTTATTAAGGAAGTACTAAACTAAATGTGCAGTACCTAAGGTGCATTAATGCATGTATAGACACGCACACTGTAATGCATATTAAAGGACTGCTTCTGATTTCAATTCCATGGATATAACTCAGCAGTAGCACTGGTCTAAAAATGATGTAGATGAGTTCAGAGCAAGGCTCTAGGTATCTACAGCTTGATTGATTTTTGTGAAGTGCGTGCAATGAATACAGGGAATGACCTACATACTGCACATAGGTTGTTTTAACACAGCTCAAAAGTTCTCTTACTTGTAAGGGAAGCCATTGGCCGCTGATTTATCAACAGCGTGCATAACTTGAAGATGTTCCCTAATGAAAGTGAACTCCGAAGAATGGATTTCCTCCAGTGAATCACGGTAGCTTTTTATAATTTAGCATAATAGGTACATGTGTGTTTTTAACATGAGGTGAGGGGTGTCTATTGTGGTGCTCTGTTGGGAAGTACAGTCTGTGCCAACATTTATTCCCCTGGGTCTCGAATCCCTACATGGCGAAGGTGGAAGTAGAAGTACTGAACATTTCCTTGTATAGTTTAGCACTTCAGAACAGGAGACTGGAAGGGATTCATGGGTCATTACGTCCAGCCCCCTGCTGTCACAGGGTACCACATTATATCATTCCTTTTCTAAACCAACAAGCAAAAAATCCTGAAAGCTTTCTTTTTCTGTTAATAACCAGAACAAGCTAAGAAATGAGCCCAAGCCAGAACCTTGGATCTGAAATCCTCTTGACTTAAGGAAGGCTGAGCCTGGATATAAACTTCAAAGCAAAGGCTATTTCTATGATGGGTTTAAGCAGCTGATTGATTTAAGCACCAAGGACCTGTGGGAAATGCATTGATCCAAAAAACCATTGCCTTTCCTACACCCCTGTGCACGGAATGGTTCGCCCAAACATTTTATCACAAAAAGTATTGGAGCGTTTGGGGAACATGAAAGTCTTCCCTTTATTTTTAGGACGTGCCAGTTTGTGTTGGCAAAATAAGATCTGCAGAATGCAAACTGTGCTGGAGCTTATGTACTGACAGTTATAACAGCCCAATTTGTGGCCACACCAATTGGAGATGCAAATGAACGGGCAAATTAATTGCTGCAGTACGAGTCCCCATCAAATAGGAAGCTGCTTAGAGGAAATCAGGTCCTTTGTACTTCCTTCCACAAATCCTTATGTCTGTCTGGGCCTCAGACTTTCTTTCTAGTGATCAATGTTAGTAAAATGGAGAGGGCTCTGTAACGGCTTGGTTTCTTTTGGAATAACGCACTCAACCCAACTTCTGACTCTTCACTTTGACTCGCATTCAGAATTAGTGGCTGCAATATTTCCACAAACATTTTGCCCATGTCCCATGTACATAGATAAATATGGCATGTTATCGGATGAGTGGTTGCTCCATATTGTAATATCCATGCAAATGCATGTTGGTGTTTTCAAAGTATATAGGTACCAAGCTCAGGGGCCTGTATAAACATATGAGACTTTGCATGTAATAATATATGTGACTGAAGCCAACTCAGAGATGAGAGATGCTGATTATTTTTATTCGTAGAGGCACATACCTCAGAGCTATTGCCTTACAGAGGAATGAGTTTACAGTTCCTTCTTTTCCTAAACATCTACATACAGTAGATTGTATTTGCTTGGCTGAGTCTCTGCATTTACCTGAAGTTATTAAAGGCACAATTATATTTGAACATACCTATTTTAGGCACATAAGGATATTTCCTCCACTTGTTTTTTCGGACAAAATTCCTTTCCCCAGCTTAGCTGCCATTAGATAGATTTGGTATTATAATATCCAGTAGATCCAGTCTAAATATACTCTATCAAAGTGCTACTATCTTGTACTACCTCTACTTTTAAAACATGCCTCTGCATTAAAGACAGGTTCCACCGATACCACAAAACACCTCAAACTGTATATCACAGAAATCTTACTGGAGATCCCGATTCTGAACGGTGCTCAGAGAATTGCTTGACTTTTTGTAAAAAATAATTTTCCATTTTTTGCAACCAAAAAAAATTGAGCAATTCTTTTCGTGTAATATTTTTCAGTCAGCTAAAGAATTGGTCAACATTTGATGGGGGTTTTTTTTTAATTCTTTTAAAAAAAATCAAATGTTGAAAAATGCTGAAAATCCAGTAATAATATTCATGAAACTTTTCACTAGTCTTTTGATTGGCTCTTTAACACTCACAGTGACCACTGATCAAGGAGATGGAAGGTTTTTTGAGCCTAGACACTTGCTGTCTTGCTTGTTGAAGGCCTTACAAGATCAAGCATCTAGGCCGCCGTCTAATCCCAGACAGCATTTAAGCATGTACTTAATTTGAGCTATCTGTTTGCTTGAACTTCAAGTATAAATAAGCATAGATAAGCATATATTTGAATTTGCTAGATAGGAGCGGCGGAGCAGAAATAAATTGACTGTAAAGAAAGAAAGCTGATAAAATAATGAACCTTTGAATATTCACTGTGCGCCGAGAGAGAAGTCGGCCTTTCTGTTGGTGCTGTGTTGCTCTTTTAAAGGTCTTATGGTTTGCCAGCCTCAGTAGAAAGCTGTAGAGATCTGTACGAACGCCGGACTTTCAATCATAAAGTTCCTAACGCTTGTACAAATATTGTCGACTGTCCCATACATGTTCCTGATTTCTTATTTCTGCCCTGGAAAAAATGTTTTTAAGAGCAGCACGACGAAGCTTGATTGGAAATTGGCACTGTTAGCTTTTTGATTATGTCTCTTTTTCCCATGCTGTGTTTAGTGCCATTTTAAAGCGTGTCTTGGTGCTACGATACACTTCTCATACAACAGTACACGCTCATTAGTGAGGAGTACTTCCAGCTCTCACTGGCTGGGGTTTTGCTGCAAAGATTGATTCAGTGCTAGAAGTCGCGGTGCCTAATCTTTGTGTTTAGAAGTGCGCAGATTTACTTTGGTGCTCAATAAAAATACCCACTATATTTTTCAACTCTGTCTAGTTTCAAGTGTGTATTTTCTACACGGACTTGGCTTTCCTTGACGTTAAAATAAAAAGGGCATTTGACATGGCTGCCAAACCTTAAGGAAGCTGCAAGATGGAAACTCTAGGAGACTCCAAACTTCTGTTTTGCCAAAGCTGATCTAGAAACCACACAAGCTTTCCTTATCCATGCCCTCCTTGTGTCTATCCCTACGCACAAGTGCCCCTTCCTGGACCTTTAGCAGTCAGATGGAAGTTGAATTACCATGGCTTGTTCAGTTCTTGGCTTGTCTGCCGTAGCTGCGGACAGAGGGGTGGATTGAACAGTACGTTGTTATGATGTAAGTAGCTCTTCTTTGGGAACTGAGACCAATCAACTCACTTTGCTTAAGCCCCCAACCATCCACTCAGCATGTTTTGGTCACTACTGAGGGCCTTGAGTTCATAGCTCAAGCATGAAAGGACACTTAATGGCCCTCTGATTGAAAGGATGTAGGAGATGAAGGGCTGATTTATATCTTCCCCCATATAAGCGAAGAGAAGAAATGCTAGTCTGGTTTTCAGTGCTGGTCACTTCAATGGGGATTGGTGTAAGCAACATGATGGCCTTTAAGTAGTGCTAACCAAGGTGTTTCTAGATACTGGTGCCTGAGCCAGCTCCAGCTCTGGTCCCATCTCCCATCCCCGGCAATGTCTGTGCAATACTTGCTGTAGCTTCTCCAGAAAAAAAGCCATGCGCGCTGTTGCCCTCACCTTTCTGCAATTGTAAGAGGGATACAGGAGGGGGAAGATGCCATTGCTTCAGCCAGTGAGGAGGAAACACTTGTTTCTAACGGTGCTGTCTATCGTTTTGAGGGGGGATATGGGATCACATGGAATTAATGCCATGGCCGGTTTTGGTCTAGCTGTAGAGTTATATGCAGAATATCTTTGCTCTGCTAAAGCATGGTTCAGCACAAAACCCGGGGCAGGAGAAAGGCTGTGTGCAGTGCAATGACCAGTCGTGAGTACAAAATATAATTATCTCGGCAGAGTTAATGACCAGTAAAGTGTGCAGAATTTTCCAAACTCCTCCGTGTACTCCAAGAAAAGTCCCACTTCTGAACGGTGCCAGGCAACAATTACCACTCCTCTGGCTCTGTTCCTCCATCCTGCCTTTCCTTTTAGTCCCAGCTCAAATCTCTTCTGGAACAAGTCTTCATCTGTGAATGAATATCATGCCATATGCCATGATGGCCTATCCTGCCATAATCAGCACAGGATGGGCAGAGGAAGATTTACAAGATATATTTCATCCTTAGCTCTATCCCTGGAAAGGGCCATGTGGATTCTTCCCTGAGATGAGAAAAGGGGCTTGTTTAGCTGGCTCAGTTTTGGATGGGGAGCAGGTAAAGGACATTTTATTCTTATAAGGATTGCAGCTTCTACTGTGCTGGAAGACATCTTATTTGGAAGCCAAGCTAACAGGCTGGTTCACACCGGGACAGAGAAGCTGCAAACATCCAGCTTACCCTCCCATCTAGTTCAGCTGTGTTTCTGCAAAGTAAATGGCACTGAAAAACTCCAGAGTTAGCAGTTTCCTCTAGGCCAGGAGAGCTAGAAATTGGCAGGAAAAGGTCTAACAACTGAATCCAACATTCAAAAATGGGCAGTTAAATTACAGCAAAGTAAGAGAGAGGCAGATTCCCAGCTGTTTGAAACCCATGTAGCTCAACTAAAGCAAACAGAGCTGAGCTGATCGGCAGCAATTGGGGATCTGACTCTCAGAGCTAGCTCCGAGCACTAAATGAATCATCTCCCTTACTGGCACCAGTTGAGTAGGGCATCGTTCTTTGACCAAACTCTCCCTTATTGGCACCTCTGTATTGGGAGCAAAGGCAGATTTTGTGGGCTAACTAAGCCTACTGTGATCTAACCACTTTCTAGCAGTTGGCAGCTCCTTAGCAAGTGATAACTTTCTAAAAGTTCAGTACAAATAAAACTGTCTATGTGCAAGGAATCTGCTTTTGACAAACTGAGCGTAAGTCAAGACGGAGCTAGAGAGCACCAGCTGGTATCGGCTAAACAGGAAAGAAGAACCACTAGGGAAATGAGAAGGTAATTCAGACATCAAAGGTAGGATAAAAGAAAAATGTCAATGGTCAAGGAGATGGAAGGTTCTTTGGACCTAGACATTTGCTTTTCCAGTGGGTGTCTCTAGTTCACAGGTGACTGTGGACACGTGCCAGTGCGCTCCCCTGACTTGCAAATAACTTGCCGTTATTTATAATTGCTTTTTAATAAAGACTGGTTGACCTCAGTGGCTGAGTCCCTTTTCAATGCTCCTGGAAGATAAAAGGGGAATGTAAAAGTGTACAACAGCACGGTTGCCAAAGACGTTACAATTTGAGTGCTATGACCGTAAAAGTCATTATCAGGAGAGTAGTGTTAAAGCAAATATTCAACTATAAAGTAGAGAGGCCTCATTCTGAGCACTCCTCTGATTGCAACTAGATTTCTTTTTCCTAATTCAAGCATCCAAATAGCACATGCAAGGAGAGATGAATGTCACAATGTCAAGACAATCTGCTGGAAGAGAGGCTTCAGAGACCAAGCGTAAGGCTTTGCAGCTACGGTTTGGATATGTTCGTGGATAAACATGGATATATTCATGCATGTAGGTCACTTACACATTTTTCTGTGGCAGCGGTTGTCCGATTGCTATTTATGTTACGACTTTACCGCCTGCAAAAACAAAAGAGGCACAATGAGGTCAAAATGCTCCATGCCCACATCTCCCACTGATCAGAGAGAGGACTCTAGGAGTAAAGGGTGCAAACTAGTGGAAAGTAGATATAGGCTAGAGATCAGAAAGACATTTTTTACAGTAAGGGTGGCCAGAGTCTGGAAAAGGCTTCCAAGAGAGGTGGTGCTGTCACCTAACTTGGAGGTCTTCAAGAGTAGGCTTGACAATCACCTGGCTGGGGTCGTCTGACCTCGGCCCTCTTTCCTGCCAGGGGCAGGGGGGTCAGACACGATGATCCATTGGGTCCCTTCTGACTCTACCATCTATGAATCTATGAATCTATGACTTGTGTAGGGGGATTGGTTTTGGAGGGTTGCATAGGAAAATCAATTTTCCGTTTAAGTATGGCTACACTTTCTCTACTGATGAAAGAGAACTAACGGTGGGGCCCAAAGGATGGAGTCAGAGATGATGTCGAATTTTTAACTTGGAGAAATTTTATGAGTGTCGTTTTAAAAGAAAAATAGGAAGAAAAGAACAAGCCCTGTTGATTTGACTAGTTCACCTCAGAGGAGAGGGACGTCAGGTCAATCATCTTGTTTTTATTAATAGTTTCCTGTTTGTTGCTACCAACCTGGGCTGCCAAAATAACAGGTGGAATAGGAAAAGCCACGGCAGACATGTCTGAGGTGGTTTAGGAATAGTGCATCCTGTATCTGTACAGGGGATTGGACTATGGGCAGAGCCAGTGGGGACCTCCAGGAGATGCAACTGGACCCTGCTTTGGCTGCGAGTTGCAGTTAATTGAGATCACTGGCTCTTCACTACAGCCATATTGGAGCCTACATTGGCATGGCTCCAGAACCCAGGGGGTGAATGCCACCACCATTTACTTTTCTTCTGCCCCCAAATTCAGCACATCCCCTTGTATAACAGTCCTATAGTGCTGGGCAGCAAGGGGACAGAATGAAGTCATGAATCCAACCATGATCCTCTTCTTTGCAAGCTAATCGTGGGCCAATACACAGGACTGGACTCCATGAAGCCTTGGCCATTAGTTGAAGAGATCTTCATTTGCAACTTAAACTCCTGTGTAGAAGCCTTCTCACATTTAGATCTCTATTCATAACCAGCGCAATCTCTATTCTGCATTTGGAACAAGGGGAGAATATCAGCTGCGTGTGGGTAGTGAGTTATAGTTCTGAGTGGCAGTAAGTTCATCCGCCTCCAATACACCCTCATTTTCTTCATCAACTAGGTAGAAGGGGATCTTCAGTTTAATGAACTTGAGACCTAATGAGCGTGAGGAACTGTATCTTGAAAAGACCCCAGCATGAGCCAGTTTGATCTGGAGGTGATGCTACGTTACCTAAGGATTATATAAGCAATGACTTCTCTCCGAGTGAAGTGTCTAAGTGCTCCTGATGCCACTGACAAACCTTTTTCACTTGAAAGCCCTTCCTCAGGATTTGCATTTGATTGTTCTCTAGTTCTAGCAGCGTAGCTGTTTCCCCTACAGCCACCAGGATAAATTGCATCCTGGTTTTTACTACGGGGTTCTGTAAGTTCAGCTGTGGATGGGATTTGGTGGCCTAGATGCATTGACTAAGCAAAGAGGTGAGCCTCACAGTGATGACAGCACATATTTCCATGCGTACCTTGATGTCTCTCAATGTTAAAATTGTCTTGCTCCATGTGCTTCTCAGACATTTCCTTCCTTAACACAGCACACTAACTAAAATGTGGTGGAACCTGACCTCAGCCTTCGCTACTTGATTAATGGCCATCTCCTTGAAAGTGGGTGTTATCCTGAAGGGCATGATTCACAGTGACTTGACAAGCTAAATAACTACAGCAAAGACCTTAATAACTACAGCAGAAACCTGCTGCCTTAATGCTAGTGGCTCTGCTTTAGATCACCAACAATGGGTGTGCATCTTATTTTCCTCCTGTGAGTTTATAGTCACTGGGTGGTAATGACATTTATAACCACTCTGTGTGTGCTGGAGAAAAAAATATTATAATTATGTGTTTAAAATACAGATATTTCTAAAATTACTTTAAAAGACCCTGAAAAGATATTGGATGATAACTGTATGATAGGGATCTCCAACTTCTTAGCAGCCAGGGGCTGTTCTCACCATGTGGACTCTGCTGGTTTGCATTCGGGACAGACTCTCTGGGTCCCGGCAAGCCGTGCCATGCACCCCAAGGGTACAGGCAGACAGCAGGAGCTGGAGGAGGGAGAGGTAGGCTGGTGAACCCATCAGTAGCAGAAGGGAAAGTGGTGGGAGGAGTGGCTGGGTAGGAACCCATGAGCCACAACTAACCTCCTTTAGATGCAGCTCATGGGCCACCAGTTGGATAGACCTGCTGTATGGCATCATAAGTATGTCATTACCCATAAAGTACCAGTTGGATTGGTGGCCACTGATGAACACTATAATCTCTTATGCTTACTTCATGAACTGTAATGGTCAAATGGATCAAACTCCCTTTGACGAGAAGGAGGAACAGAAAAAAAGAACGCAAAGAGAGTAAGCTCTAGTTAGTCCTACAGTCCTAAGAAATCTCTAATGAATATTCTCAGTTAAATCTCTAATGAATATTCTCAGTTAACAGCACTTTCATTCTGTCTTTTTTCAAATAAATCACTACTAAAATATAATTCAGTCATACAGGATGTAATTCATAAAAAGGCGGAGACATGACCCCTAGTGTTGATCTTTAATTGGATACTTTTATTCCATCTAAGAGTCCATTGAACAATGGGATGTAATTCATGAATGTGGCAGCAGATGTTACTATGTTTATCAAGTTAACTTTCTTCATTTCTGTGTTCTGGCTGTCTCAGTATTTTCTTAGTACTTCTTCTGTGCTAGCTATTCTCCCCCCATAGACGAATAAAGAAATGAAAATATCAGGCCAAATTTTATATTGGTGTAACTTGGTTACACTCTTTGGATATCAACAGAGTTGCGCCTGTTTTACACGGGCATAACATTTGGCTTCTATCTGTTGTTGCCAAGAAAAGAAAGTGCAATAAGGAAAGTCTGAAAACTGTTCTTGCTTAATCAGACTTGCCACCACCCACATCTAAATAAGGAAATGATACTCAGTCAAACTGAGCCAAAACTAGGAAATTGAATTCAGGGCAAAAAATCTGCATAACCTAATTCTTGTTTCCACAACTTGGACCCCATGGAGATTTGGAAGCCAAATTGCAGTAGCTAGTCACGTGGACAACACACAAAGTCAACCTGTGAGAAGAAATAGCCTCTTCTCTAGTTGAAGCTGAAGAAAACCTTCCGACCACTCTTGCTGCCTGAGAACGTCACAGCAGTTCAGGATGATCCTGGGGCAAAGAACTGCTACAGCCACGCTCAGATCAGTAGCAGAGTTTATTTCCTTGCCAAACAGCACCAGCTGTGCCCTATCTAGACTGAGACTGAGCCAACTGGCAGCTGTCCAGATCCTTATCTATTCTGCAAAAAGACAGAAACATGCAAAGCAGATGTGTACTTCAGTCAGGATCTCTAAGATAGTGAGGTGCCTAATTCCCAGGAATTACAATGAGAGAAAACCACCTAAACACCTCTGAGGCTCTGAGCTTTGGTTGTATGGGTGTAACGATGGCTCTAAGCACGTCACAGCCTCTCATCCAACGTGAGCAGCCTGCAAGTTGGCCTGTTCCTCTCCAGAGTGGACCCACATTTCATTGATTCATGAATGTCCTTTGTTTGGCCTATGATACATCCAGGTGAGTTCAGCAATAAAGTACTTCCTCCAAGGAAACCAGACGGGGAAACATTGCACATGAAGGCTCCATGCTCCAAGACATGTCCTAATAAAAGCTCCCAAAATGCTCCGTGGATAACTAGGTTTCACAGCACCCCTCCACTGGAAGCACAGTCTCCAGCACCCCGACCCTCTAGACTGGACCGGAGGCAGATTCACTTCCGAGAAGTTTGTCGAGTCTGTGCTTGAGCGTGGCGCTACGTCCACGAGAACACACGTAATGAAAGCCTCATGATAAAATCCAACCTTGTGGAACAACTGGCCACGATAAAAATAAAACATGCCAGAGGTTGATCTTGCCACGATAAATCAAAGCCTACCATGATAAAAAGAGTCAATGTGTATTTTCACATGTGACTAACCTAGCAAAATGGCGATTTTGGGTGCCATTTCATAACATCTATCTAAACAACGCACGTCATGTACAAAGGCCCTAAAAACCCCGAAAAGATATGCAATGATAACTGTATGGCTCCTGGAAACGTGCCTGCCAGAGACCCAGTAGTTGTAATCTCACGGCAGGGCATCAGAAAGTCTCTGTGGGATCATCTGACCCCTGGAAGTGCTCGTTAGCCACAACCATGGGAAAGTGCCCGTTTTGATTAAGCTTCTGATTGAAACAGGCAGGGCACGGGGCTGAGCTCTCAGGCTCCCGGCCCTCAAGTTGCCCATCTCCTTCACTGGATATCCACTGCACTGCCCCAGAACAGCGAGGAGGGACGGCACCAGCCATTTCGGAGCAATCCTGCTGCAGAAAATGCTGCATATCAAACTCTTTGCTTTGATTTGCTCTTTGCTTCCTCTCCCCAGCCTCACACCAAAAATGCAGGCTTTCCTGCGGGAGGGTAATGCTGACTCCTTCACGTCTTCAGAGCCCCCAAAACTTGAAGCTGTGCTTTAATGCCACCGCTTAGACGTAAGAGGCAAGTTGCCAAACGTGGGTGTGAATCTCTCTCTTTTAACCCCATGACCTAAAAATCTTCAGGCCTGGGAACGTTGTAACTCATTAACTGTGGTTCAGAGTTTGGGACTCCACCGCCAAGGTTTTGTTTGTAGCAAGGGAAGGATTTTAAAAGGTAAAGTAAAAATAATCTTGCATGGTATTTATTAGGAGAATAAATATCTTGAATCTGCACCACTTTGAATGTCAGGGACTTTGCGTTCTCGGGATCAGCAGGGTAGGAGTTTACGCTCTCCCCATCTCTCCTAACACGCACGTATTTATTTGAGCGTTTCCGAAGGAAACTTCTTCTCACGTGATTCCCCCACAACTTGGGACCTCATTGCACAGCGTGGAGCAGCCTCTGCAAAGCAATCCACCCTTCCTATGTGCCACGCTGCTGCTGCTGTCGCATTTGAAGAGGGGGTGGGGGAATAAAAGAGCTTCGAGCGCACTATGTGTCCTTCAGCGTCCACTGGATCTGGTGTAGAGGCAAAGGTCCCTCTGTTCATACACAGCTGCTGTTCTTGCTTCAGCCCATGCAGAATTCCCCTGGCACTCGAGCGAGACGCAGCATTTCATAAGTGAAGGGAACCAGGCGGTGCCTGATGCTTTGAGCAGCCCAGGTGAGCGTGCGCAGCCTCTCTGGCACCTGTTGTTGGCCGAAGGCGTGGCTTCCCCTGCAAGCATCAGGTAACACCTGCCTCTCCCTTTCTGGAGCTACAAGCTCAGGGCTTGCAAGGGAATTCGAGCCACGGCAGGAACAGGTGACGTTGAAGCAGCAGCAGCAGCAGCAGCACCTCTCTCTGCTGCTGCTGCTGCTGATGAGACCCAGCGAAGATGGTAGAAGGACGCTTCTCCAAACTTCTCCAGCAAGGATCCCTTTTCCGCTTATCCCAGAAATATCAGCCACTTGGGAGTGGGGAGCCAGAAGGAGAGGTAAGGCTTTCCTATGCCTCTTGCTGCACGGTAGGAAATGTCTGCTGTAATCGGGGGCTGAGAAAGACTGTGCCCTACTGGCAGCCCTGCATCTCTCTGGCGATGCCAGCATTGCCGTGCTACTCGGTTTTATCCTCGCATGCAAAATGGAGGATGAGATTAATGACATTTCCCTGCCTATAGATGTCTTGCAGAGGGGGGTAGTTCACGTGCACAGAGTATTTTCAGAGGACAGCGCATGGGCCTAAGTATTAGCGGTCATCTTCATAGGAGAGAGATTAAAATGTGCTTCGCTCACTAATGTAGATGTTGCAGCCCGGGCCATGATAAAGGTTCTCAGACCATACAGATTTAAACAAGGTGTCAACACGAGTCTCGGCAGACAGTTGCATGGGTTGTGAGTAAGCACTAAAGCTGCCTCTTTCCTAGATGAGTGGTCCCTCCTGGTCAGAGTCAAAGCTGGCCGGTGGATGGGATGAGCGAGCCAATCCTGCTGCAAGGGGGATACTATATTATTGTTATTTTTTAACTAACAAAATAAAACTGGAAAAGAATTTCACAAGCCATTTCTTGGTCCTTTTCAAGGATGAGTTTTAGTTTTCTTGAACGATCCCCTAAATTTTTACTTAGGAATATCATTTTTATCCCATTTTATCTAATTTTTGCTACTCCAAGCCGAATAAGTGGTTGGTGTGTTTCATATTTTCAGTATTCTCTTTCGGCTCTCAGGCACGCTGTAAGTTCCTTGGGGCTGGGAGATGATTATTTCTATGGGAGCTACTTGTTACACATTTATCCGGCACAAAAAGATTCAGATCTCCTTTGGTGCATCTGTAATAGTGTTATTGTAATAGGAATTATAATAACGTGGGATTGGGTATTTTTGAATAACAATGTGCATGTAGGATCCTGATCCTTTTCTTCCTCAAATGAGGGATGATAACATTCAAAGGAGTAAGATAAGCCTGATTTCTTCAGCACCTCTACCTTCCAGTAGGTAGCAACATCGCCATTAAGTACCATGTGTTCAAACATTGTAGTAGTAGGCAACTGTTGATCCATTTGGCTCATGGTGTATGTATGAAAGGTCACCAGGTTAACATGTACACCTAGGCAGGAGTGGGGATGAATGAAGGCTGCCCAGACCTTCTATCCCCCACTTAGACAGTATCCAAGTCTAGACATTCGGTGCCTCAATAGCTGTAGCTATATACACGTCCAGGAATTGAACCCACATGGTGAGCAAGGAGTCTACCACTGAACCACAACAGCAGGTCAAATGGTGTTCATTGCAGCTAATTCTTTCAATCTGCCCTCATAAATCATTTCCTGCACCCTTCTCTGATCTTCTTCCAATCTGTTGTTGCCTTTCTAATATTGAGTAGGTCAGAACTGCTGGTGATGCTATAATGTACAGTCTGACGGTGCTCCAGGAAGAGAGAGGGACTAAAACTGCTCTTACTTTGATCCACTAAGCAATGCTACCGCAGATTACTCAAAATCCCAGTCTAAAAAGGAGAAACTACTCAGGTGCTAAAAATTATACTCTGTCTTGCTCTGATGTGTCCCTAGTTAGAAAACTGTAGCAGTGCATTCTTATGGCTTTCCCATTCTTACTATATCATAAGAAATATTTGCTACCTGGACATGGGGCCTTAAATTGCAGGTTAAAGTCTATGCAGAACATGAGGCCATTATTATAATGTGACAGTACAATGACCACGTTTTTCGATGTAAGCCTGGGAAAAAACCTGAGAAAATGTGAAATTACAATGGGAAAGCAATTTCCATGCACGTCCACAGAGACCCCATTATGATGCAAATACAGCATCAGGATGATTTCACTGCAAGTCTGCGGAGACCCAGAGACAACTGAAGAATAATTTCAGTGAAGGCCTATAGAATCATTTAAATGTACAGCTGAAGGTCTCTCCACAATGCCATTATGATGTGACATTAACATGTCAAAACCATTTCAAGGATAATCCACAGAGAATCTATTCGGATGCCATTATATTGTGAAAACACAAATCTTGACATGATTGTTACATGCCCACAGAAAAAAAAGACTATAATTAATTCTACACAGAAGCACAATGAAAATATATTGTATTATTGCCATCAATTATTATTATTATTATTATTATTATTATTATTAACTGTCATAAAGCAAAAAAAATCAATAACTGAAGAATAAATTCCTTGTTTCTTACAGTCTGGTAATTGACTCACTATAGATGTGCATTTTGCTTTTGATTTGGAAATATTTTGCTGAAATCAATAGGGAAATAAAAATTTTAAAAAAAACCCACTTCAGATTACATTTTTGTCCTCTAGCCATGATAGCTATTAAGTTCAGACTTTGGATCTCTATTCATTTCCTAGTTTTATTACAGATTTCTTATGTCACCTTAAGAAGTCATGTCATTTCTGGGTGCCTCAGGTTTTCCTCATCTTTCAAATGGGTAATAATCATTCTGTTTTATTGAACTTTAAACTCCTTGGGTAGGGACATTCATTCAAAAAACCTGTGCCAAAATTGATTCAATCTTTGCAGGTTAGTCTAACCTGCCTAGGCTAAACCAGTTCGTAACCGTAAGACATCCCCTCTGGACTGAAAAAATGCAGGCACATGCCTGCAGTGGCTCAGGCTAGAAGCCAGGGGGTACTACAGCAGCCCTCCCTTCCCTTTCACAGTGCTGAGCTGGGGGAGAGGGGGGGCATGGGCAGGCCCCAGCAGGATGCCCTGATTAAGGAGGGGTTCCCCCACTCCTAACCAGCCCAGCAAGGAGTTGATAACACAGTGTTCATCAACCCTAACTCAGTGTTTATCACCCCATTAAGAAAACAACAGAGGGACATTACCAGCTACCTCTTGATTCTGCCTTTGTCCTGTCTCCCACTGCACGGACCGTAGCCAGTATGTGGTCTGCTAGCTAATGCTGTGTGTCTGTGTAAGGTAGAGGGGGTGGGAAAATCCCTGCTTAGAGGGGAAGTGGGGAGCAGAAGCCAGGTAGATGCCTGCAGTCTCTGCTGGAGCTGCAGCCAGGGATCAGAAGGGAGAAGCCAGCCCTGCTGTGGAGCAGAGATCCCTGCTTAGCCCAGAGAGCAGGCCGGGATGCTGGGGGAGTCTGACTTAAACCTGCACGGGGTCTGAGACAGGCATTGCATAAACTGGTTTGACCCAAATTAGTTAAATCTGATAGTGCATTCGGCCAGGTTTATCTCAAACTGGCTTCAGCCATTTTCAAACTGGTTTATGTGCACTGAATATCTGTTCTGTTACAGGTTGAAACAAGTTTCTGAACACTTAAACTGGTTTATGTGTAATGTCTGTCCCTAGCCCTTGAGTCAGAGTTTGTTTCTGATAATGTGTATATGAATGAAAGAACAGGTCATCTGTTGAGTTGGAAACCAAGGCCTCTGCTTCCAGAAGCATGAACTGTCACAGCTTGAGCTAATGGACTGACTGCTTTTGCTTAGGTTAGTTGTATAAAGCTGCCAAACCCCGTCTGCTTCACACAGTCTATAACTGAAAAAGACATATCATGTAGCCACATGAGTGTGGTACCACGCACGTATCAGTGTCTCAGCACTATAATGACATGTCCCAGAATGGCACTGCCTTGCCTTGTAGAGACATACCTTTATTTCTCGTGCTGTCCCATGTGGAGACAGAGGGCAATTGATCACTATCTTCTATCACAACTTCCTCTGCATTTGAAAACTATTATCAAATCCCCCCTCGGGTTTCTTTTACCTAGGCTAAAAAACTCCAGTTCTTCCCACGTTTTCTCATGTCACGCATTCTAGATTTCTAATAATTTTCTTTGCTCTTCTCTGTTTTCTTTCCAATTTGTTCACATCGTTCTTGAAGTGTGATCACAAGTGGGACACAATATTCAAAGCGAAACTTCTTCAGTGCTGATTTGACGGGAACAATATCTTCCCCTGACTTGCACGTGCCATACTTGTTATGCATTCAGTTACCCATTCCAGTATGCGACAGGGGTTTTTTGCAAAATATTATACTTGCCTCGTATGCAGCTTGCTCTTCATTATAACTGTCAGGTTCTTTTCTTCAGTATTGCAGCCAGACATTCCTGATTTGGCATTTGTGCATTTGATTATTCTTTTCAAGGTACCTATCCTTACTGAATTTCATCCTATTTATTTCAGTCCATTTTTTTCCAGTTGAGATCATTTTAAACCCTAATCCTAACCTCTAAAGTGTCTGCTACCCAACCCCACTTGCTGTCACCAGCAAACTTATTCTCTGTTTCATCTTCCAAGTTATTGATGCTGGTATTTTAAACAATGCCAAACCCAGGACAGGCCGCGGATCAATTCCCACATTGTATTTGCTTCTAGTTAGGCATTGAGCTCTTGATGACTGCTCTTAGAGCATGATTATCTAACCAGTTACGTGCCCTGCTGATTTCAATTCGACTACATTTCTTTAGGTTATTTATGAAAATGCCATAGGAGACAGTGTTAAAAGCTTCACTAAAACCAAGGTATATCTACTGCTCCTTCCTGCACCCACAAAGCCCATTACTTTGTCACAGAAGAAAATAACGTTGGGTAGCTGTGATTTGCTCTTGATAAATCACGTTAGCTTTTACTTATCACCCTTGTTATTCTCTAACTGTTTACAAATCTAGTGTTTGATGGTTGGCTCCAGTATCTTTCCAGTATCCTTTCCCCTTTGAGAGATCTCCATCTGGACCCTGGGAACAGTAACTGCATGTACTGACGTGGAAGCAGCTTCTTCAAAGCAAAGTATGGTTGTATTTGCCCAGTGATGCAACTGCACTGAGAGAAGCAGAAAGAAATCTCATAAAGAGATCTCTATCAGATCGCCTTACTCATGTTTGACATTCACTTCACATCTCGAAGTAGGCATGACTCAGCCTTGGTGAGCCCATTCTCTTGACAACCAACTTTCATCCCGTTTATGTATCTCTGCCTGTCTCCGTTTGCAGTTCTCACTGATGAGC